CTGCCACAAGCCTGGCAGGGCTGCTCAGCGGGGGATCCGGGCAGCCGATCTCCTTCCCCACCACCTCTGCACACAGTGAGCTGGGAGATGTGCTCTCAACTTGTCTGCCTCGCGTCCAGCATCTCCAGCCCTGATGCCTGCCTTAATTTCAGGAGGGGACATACACAGACCTGTCGCTGGGGGCATGTAAAGCCAGATTGGATAAATGCATTTGAATAATACATTGTGATGCTTCCAGTCAGCCCTGCTGTAGATGCAAAACGTAGATGAGGTGGGAGCTAACAGGTCTCCTCCACTTCCTAATTTGTAGAATTTTTTTTTTTCCCTTTCGCAGAGATTGTGAACCAGGACTTATACAGGGAGCAGCATTTCTTTTTCTAAGCCCTTAATCCAGTCCCTATCTGTATCACAGCAAGTGTGAAGGAGTGTGAATCCCATTTGGACGGCTCCTTCAGAGGAGATGTCTCTGAAAGGATGCATGGCTTGCACGCTAATCCAATCTGCTCCCACACCCCGCGGTGAACCCCATTAAAGCGGAGGCTTGTTAAATGCCAGTAGGCTCTGGGAATAAGCTAGACCTGCTGTTCCCTTGATGCACCAAAAAATGAAACAGCTCGCTGACTCTCGGGTTTGTCAAAGGGAAGAGGAGAGTGTCAGAGCAAGAATCTCTCTGACTTGGCCATCGATGGTCTCCAGCAGGAGGGAGGAAAGGAATAACCATCGTGGCTTTTCCAAGGGTTTGATGTTCTGTGGTGCTGAGGGCTGTGCTCAGCCTAACGAAGGGGCCACGCAAGTCTAAAAATCTTTTTTGATGACACCAAATGTTCACCTACTCTTATTTCTTTTCTCATTTATGTCTAATGCATTTGGGATTTTTTCAGGAGTAGTAGAAGCATGTGCTCCTGAGATATATTTTCATTAAGGTGTATATTTCCAGGTAACAATATTTCTGCTGGAAGAGGATTTGGTTCTCTTTACGAGCGTGCTCATTTGGATATCCGTGCAATGGAGACAATAAAACAGCAATGAGCACGTGGTGGTTAGAATGTGTCTGGGTAGGAGCCCAGCTCCCGCTGAGCATCACAGAGTGGGCGACTGGTTCTTTGTGAGCCCTTTGAAAACAGCAAGCGAAAGCAAGAAGGAGCTCTGCAACCAAATAGATGCAGACCAATACTTGTATGTATTTATTTTTAACTGAGGGTTGACAGTTCATATGAGTGGCATTGGTTTCCGAAGGGGCTTGGTCCTACCTATTCTTCATTGTGGCATCAGTCTAGCACCCGGTGCTGGAACCTTTGGTTCCCACAGGTCCTGCTCAGGCAGGTCTGGCACCCATCCTTAGGCAGTGGTGCCAGGCCATGGGAGTGACAAGGCTGTCACCTGAGGTCTCAGCTCCAGCCTGCAAGGGACTGAGCTGAGTTGGCTACATAGCTTCAGGCAGGTTATACCAAAGGTGGGGACAAGGGCTTTCAGGGCACTCATGGGATCAGAGAGGGCTGGAACAGGGTCCCAGATCTGGCCTGGGTCACTGGGAGCCGGGAGAAGGTGCACTGCGAGGACGAGGTCTCCACAAGTCACCCAGGAGGCTGGTGGCCCCATCTGGATAAAACAGAGATGTTGGGTGGTCTCTGCTGAGAGCCGAAGATGAAGGCAGTGGTGGGAATCCTGTCCAGATCATTCAGCTCAGTCCCGACCTGAGAAGGGCAGGGGAATTCCCTTGGCAACCTGAAGATGGAGGAGACCTTCTCTATGCACTGCTAACACCTGACTCGTAAAAAAAAAAAATAGAGATGTATTTAATGCAACCTGTAGGCTGCATGCTGCTTTGATGACGGAGACCAGATGTCTTTGATGGCTGGTTAGATCGCGCAGGTATTATTAATTGGGTTGGTTAGGAGCTTTTTTGACGGAATGATTTTACGGTCGCAGTAGGGCAGCAATGATGATGGATGTGAAAAGCCCTTCACAGGCATCAGGACATCTCCCTTCTGAATGGGGTGGGATGCGAACGGCGCAGCAGCATCTCCGTTCAGAGCCCTTCAGAGTGGGATCTCTTGACTGTTGAACAATGCTTGGCAAAGAGGAGCCGGGTTTATAAATAATGCATTTCCTTTGTCTTGCAGGAGTTCTGGAGGCAGAGGTACAATCAGATCAGCTGTGAACAGCTTACATAGCAAATCTAATAGGTTTGTAAATTAGATTTTGTGTTCATTTGTTTTTGCTGTAAGGCAGCTATTAATCTGCTTCTCCTCTTCGCTGGATAGTGCTGTTCTTATTTAGCAAATGTATCTGTTTCTTTTCACTTCTGCTTTGCATTTTCTTAATCGTTTCTCCCCCTCCTTCCCCCAGCTCAGTGCAATAATCATTTGCAAATAACCAAGGATCTGCAAGTTGCGGTGATTGAGAGAATGAGAAGGAGAGAGTTACTTATTGTGAAAATAAGTCAGTGATAGAGTTGCCATTTCCGTAGTTTTACTACGTGCTATTAGAAGAGCGATCGCTGTCTTTGACATCAGAACTTCATTCGGTTTTATCGTAATGCACTTCAGTAATGTTGCTCCATTGCAGAGGCATTTCGTGGCATCCCAGTTTCATTCAGTGTCTCTCTGTGTTATTGTTACAATAACTTCATGTCAGCCCAGCATTACCAAGTGACACGGTTGCAAAGCTTGATGACACCATGCAGGAAAAGAAGGGTGATGTCATTCTGCGATGATGTCACCGCAAATGATCAAAACACAGCAAACGGACAAAACCCCCAAAAATGGTAGTTATTCCCAAGGTTTCTTTACCCTATTCCCTTTATGATATTTGACGCCTTGTAAGTAAGCTTTGCAAGACACGAGGTGATACGGCAAAATGCAAGACGCAAACAAATCCAACAGCCGCGACTGGCAGCCTCTGGAGAGGTTCTGTACAAACACACGCAAGGACACTGGCAGCCAGCATTTATAAATGCATTTCCTTGCCTTTCTGAACCATTACATAGCATGAGCCACAGCGTGTCCTCGGGAGCTCCTTCCCTGGGCTGCAGATGTGCTCCCAGCAGCTGGATGTTGCCCATGAGCTTGGGCCATCAGCTCTGCCCCACCTCTCACCCTTCTCCCTCCTTGGGGTTTACGTGCATTTTATAAATGTATTTACTTACAAACCATTTCCCAGCTGGAAAAAGCCCTTTGCGCTGGAGAGGGAGATTCCCTTTAGCTGATAGCGACTGCTTTGGCTGTGTGTTTTTCAGAGCGCTCTGAAGTGTGAAGGTTTTTTCGGGGCTGCAGGCACACGCGCAGCTTCTTGATGAGATGCTTGGGTATTCTCTTTGGAGGGCGGCTGGCTGGAATCAAATATTCAGAGGCTCCCTTAATTCATGCCATTTCATGTAAATGGCGCTGGAGTGCTGGGGCTGATTCGCTTCTCGGAGCGGGGATTAAAAGCTGGGGTCTCCCAGTGATCATCTCCAAACAGCAGCATCTGGCTATTGCCCGTCCCCTTGCTCATTCCTGGGTCTGGAGCAGGCGATATGGATGCTGCAGTCCTCGTGCTCGTTTCTCACGAGGGGAAATGTTATCAGCGAGCCAGCCTCTCCCTCTTCAGTGCGGGACGCTCGTAGCCCGATCTCACGAGAGGCGCCCAGCAGCTCAGCTTAATTAATTTCTCCTTTGGGTGAAGTGAAGGTTGCACTTCTCTGATGAGGATTTTAACCCGCTGAGCAGGCTCCACTTCGGGGTGCTCACGCGTGACCGTGAGGTGGCAGGTCGGCAACCTTGGCTGCCCATGTAGGAAATGTCTTGGTGAATTTTGGGGGCTCCCCGGGGCTCTGTGGTGTCTTGTCTGTGAGTGTGCATCTGCCAGCCTGTCTCTGCGGAGCCTGCTCGTGTTTTTGTGTGCATGCCTTTCAACAGCTAGGTGTGTAAGATTGTGCTTTCTGTAGAGTCGTGCCCGGCTGTAAGTCTGTGTTCGTGTAAGCGAGCAGGTATTTAAGGATTTGTGTCTGTCTTGAGTGTAGCAGAATACAAACAGGCTTTCAGTTCTTGTTTAGCTAATAACTACAATTTTGCTTTTCTGATGAAGTTTGAATTCCAGCAGCCAGAGCCAAAGACAGTGATTAGAAGTGCCATTGGGATGCTAACGGATCCCGTCTCTCCCTCTCCCTGTCTTTCTTTTCTCTAGAGTTGAAGTAGTAATAAATGATTCTTCATCTCCAGCTGTTGTTGACAGAAGTAATGAAAGCATTAAGCACAACATTAAACCAGCCTCATCCAAATGGAGACACAACCAGACACTCTCTTTGAAGATCAGGTACTGGTAATTACCTATAGGACAAGAGACAGATTTGGTCCTCTCCAGTGCAAGCTGGCAAATTGCCTCTGTATATCATCTAAAGAAGTCGAGGAAGAAATAAAAGGCTTATCTCCTGCTGAGCTAGGCTTCATATCTGTAAGCGGTCGCTTGGAAATGAATTCCCGGCTGAACCAGCTGGCCTGGCAACGACAACGCAAGGGGCGCTCAAGCCCCCATTTTCCAGGCCCAGTGGAATTAGTGGGCGCTGGTGGTGGGTCATGGCGGGGGAAGGAGACCCTCTCCCTGGGCTAAATGCAGGGACCCCCCACTGATGGTGGGCTGGCCATGCTAGCCTGTCCTGGGAAGGGATGGGTGGGGAAGGAACAGGCGTTAAGATGGAGATACCTGTTTGAAAGCTGTTCCTGGAGAGCATCAGTCAGCTGGGACTGGCCACGGGGCGAGGGCAGGCAGGAGGCAAGAGTTCGTCATGCGTATGACCCAACTTATCTCTGTACCTCACCTGATGGGGCTGTTTTCTTCCCCGTCCTCAGGAAGCAGATCCTGAAGTTCCTAGATGCGGAGAAGGACATTTCAGTGCTGAAGGGGACGCTGAAGCCGGGGGACGTCATCCACTACGTCTTTGATAGGGATAGCACCATGAACGTCTCGCAGAACCTGTACTGGGGGGGGTGGAGGTATGGGGGGGGTTCGGAGGGGTGGAAAGGGGCAGGGGTCCCAATCCATGTGGTGCAGCGTAGCCTTCCAGCCCCGTGGGCGTGCGTAGAGTTCACTGATGCAAATGTCCTGCTGCGAACCCTTCTACCAACCACTACGTGCTCCCCCACTCTCCTTGCAAACGCGCCCCCCATGTGTTCTCACGGTGCACCCTTAACCCCCCAGGGCACCATTAACTCCCAGAGCCAAGCACTCACTCCTCTTTTCCCACATACTTACCTTCTTGCAAATAAACCCTGTTTTGGACCCTCCCATGGACACAAGCTCGATCCTTCCCCAAGTGACTTCTGCCCTCAAGCACCGGCTGGGCCATGCCGGTGCCCTGACACCAGACTTGTGCACACACAGGTCTGACGCTCCCTCGGACCACTCCATCCCCAGCACCGATGTCCCCATGGATGCACTGCCCCATGGCCCTGCAGCAGCAGATCCCAACTCCTTGCTGGGGCACACACCAAATCTGCTATGGAAGGTGCTTGAAGTGGAGAGGAGGAGCACGCCTGCCCTCCCATCCCCGACACCCGAGTATATCTGTTAGCTGAGGGGCTGTAGGAGTCTGCTGATGATTTATATATGTGCAGACATTTGCTTTCTGGCTAGTCTATTAGGAAGACAGCCCAATCCATCAGCGGCTCACAGAGGCGGTCCCCGGCGTGACGTGGGAGCGGGGATAATGTCACCTCTGCCCCCCGCTCAAGCCCGGCTGCTCCAGCCTGCCTGGCTGCTAGCAGCTCCATCCCATCCATGGGGGACGGGGCGTTATTGGCCTCCTTAAGTGTAACCAGAGCAAACAAAGGGAAAAAATTGCTTATTGCAGTTTGGGCAAAGTTTAGGGAGGGGCTTTCATGTCAGACAGGAAAGTTGCAGGAGAAAAGCTTTTCTGGGTGTAAAGCTTGGGATTTTTGAGCAACTTCTCCCCAGCCATGTACGCTAGTGCAGGTCTGGCATGGACCCTTCCCACCGTAGGCTGGCTGAGCCACTGCTTGAACCTGCATCTTCCTCAGGCATGTTCGTTCCATCCCGGCAGCCTTTTCAGCGGGGTTGGCAGTGACCAGGGATGGGCTCTGTGTCCAGGACGCAGCTTCGCTCTTCAGATCCAATGTTTAATTTCAGTGATTTTACTCCTGCGATGAGTGGATCAAAAGGGCCCCATGTGCCAGTAGCTGGATTTTTCTTTACACCATTCCCTTAGTTTCCCCATCTGTAAAGTAGGGAAAACAGTGGTAATGGCTGATTATTGAGGCAGATGGTTAGGATGCAATTCCTGCTCGTTAAATACTGTAACTTCACTGTCAAGCACCACAGGAGACCACACAGTGTGCGAACACACGGGTACCCTCTGGTTTTCACCACGCTGGAGGAGCATCTCTCTGCATCCCCCCAGTGCCATTTGGGATGGCAGGGTTAGGTTAACGGTTGGACTCGATGACCTTAAAGGTCTTTTCCAACCTGGACGATTCTATGATTCTATGATTTGCCCGGCGCCACGTGCATAGCATGGCCACGGCTTAACGGCCGCGGACCCCCTGTGAGGAGCTGTAGGAAACCACCGTATAACGAGGGTGATTTGTTGGCAGTTTATCCTGCAGCCCCTCATCCCTGGCATGACACAGGAGCTCGTGGCACAGGAGCTCCCGGGGAAACCGTGCGTGCCCGTCTCCACGTGCACAGCCTGAGAGGAGGCACCAGTTAACACTAGAGAAAGAGATGTTTTCTGAAGGTCACAACCTCCAGACAGCCAAACCCTGTGGAGACCATGTCCTGGCATCCACCTCCCACTGGTGTCGTTATCGCTGCCGGTGCCACCAGGTCTGCTGTTAGCAGAGACTCGCCAGGAGGAGAAAAGGGACTTGGGATAATGTTACCCCAGCAGGACTAGAGTTAAGAGGCGAGCGCTTTCCTTGCGTGGGAAAGGCTGTTCCATTTCAAATCTGCCGTGGCAGCAAAGACGGGAGGCTTGTTGCTACATGTTATTTTTGAACCGCACCAGGAGAGATACCGATCCGTACAAACCCGCCCACCAGACACCAAAGTTATGTCTGTTATTAGCACTGCCCTAGAGGAATATGTGCACACATGCCAGCATGTTGAGGAACGATGACCTGGTATTAAGATGGCTCATCGTTACCAGGTCAGAGCCTCCCCAATTTATTGCAGAGGCTCATTTTCCCTCCTCCTCCTCCTCCTCCTCCTCCCAAAAGTGAGGGTGAATGGGCACATCTGTCGCTGGCCCCGGCTTTTGACATCAAACCCCCCTCGTGTTTGTCACTGCCCGCTCTCATGTCCATCGTAAAGGGCTGTTCCATGTTTCCCTTCACAGGTGCAATCTGGCCCCTGTCCAAGAGTACTCCCAGGACGTGGGCATGAAGACAGACCTGGTGACTATGAACCCCTCGGTCATCCAACGGGCCTTCGAGGACCTGGTAAACGAGACTTGGAGGGAGAAGCTGCTGCAACGCCTCCACAGCCTCAACGGCAGCATCCTCTGGATCCCGGCGTTCATGGCCAAGGGGGGCAAGGAGCGCGTGGAGTGGGTGAACGAGCTCATCCTGAAGCATCGCATCAACGTCAGGACTGCCTACCCCTCGCTGCGCCTGCTGCACGCTGTCCGAGGGTGAGAGCGTTTCTGGTGTGCTTGGAGCCGGGATTTCGTGAGCTTCCCGAGCTGGAGAGCGATTGATGGGTTTGTGCTGGAGGCAAACGGTGCGAGCTGTTTCTTTCTGCAGACTCTGAGGAGGACTCCATGGGCGGTGGCTGGTCCCTAGATGAGAACTGGAGACCACCTCGCAAGCAGGGGCTCCCTGCTCTGCTCTTGGAGCGTGAGGTCTTTTAGCCATGCAGTATAGTGACCCTAAGCCTTCCAGCACTTTGCTGGCTGTAAGCCTGCGTGTCTCTGTGATAACTCCCCAACCTACAGTTAGGGCTGTCCTTGGAGAAATGTGTGTTTGTGTGTTATGGTTTCCTGAGCTAGGGACAAGGTTTGTCACCTCCTGCTTGTGTGACACATGCAAGTCTCGCACAGCTCCTCAGGTGAGAGAGCTTGTGGCAGCCTGGATGGGCTCAGTGGTGGCAGAGAACCAAGGCTGTTCACGAGTAGCCTGGATGCTCATCTTAAATAACCAGCCCAGGGAAGGGACTTGACGTGGTCTGGTCCTGCTGCTCAGATAAATAAGCAGGGTGGTGGTGGATGGATTTATGTGGAGGGAAGGAAGGTGTCTTTTTGCTCCCTTATTGCAACTTCAGGCATGTGGGAGACACAGGTGTGGTGGGGATAGGGAGGTTATAAAAGAAAGAGAGCTCCCGGGGTGAGACTTCCATGTAAGTAAATTGGGATTGGGGTAGGCTCTTGCTTTCCTGCTTTATGTCTCTGGGGAGAATCATGGTTCATTAGGCATTTAGAGAGTCTGGGCAGGTGGTGGCTGATGCTGGCTTAGTGGCAGTGGTTGTCCTCTCCAATCCTAACTAGATGCTGTTGATCTCCCGGGATGGGAATTCACCCGTGTAACTGGTGCTCCCACCTCTAAGCCTCAGCAGTAATGTTTCTTGATCGCTTTGGGCACTTCTCCCCCAACACACCTCTGAGCCTGAGCTCTTCTGGTCAGTTGGTCCGTGCTGGGTGTCACTCTGTCCCAGCTCAGGTTGCGTGTCGGTGCAGGGGGTGGGCACGGGACAGATTTTTGGGGTCTTTTCCCACAGGAGCAAGCCTAAGGGGGTGCTCCGGGGAAAGGGGTGTGAAGGGCAGCTCTGCAGGCAATTGGGTGCCACGATGCATTGCAGGCAGCAATAATGGGCAAGAAGAACCAGGTCTGCCCCAAGTGCCTGTGTTTGGGGCTTCCCTGGGTCAGAGAGGCATCTTCCAGAAGCTGGCTTTGAGGTAAAGAAAGGGAAGGAGATGATACCACAACTCACAGAAAGGGGGAAGGGGGACATGGCACGGGGGGTAGCAAGGGGGGGAGGAAAAAAAAAAATCCCACAACCCAAATTCTGAGCTATTTCTAGCTGTAATTGACTTACTTTCATCTGTCAAAATAGAATTAAGCTCCTGTAATAAGCCCTTTAAATCAACAGGCTGCTAATCCTGTGCTGGCAACTGTTCCCGGTGCCAGAAACTTCCCGTAGGAAGCTTTGTGGAGGGATTGGCAAGGGCTGGGCATAGCTTTCCCACGGGAGAGGAGGAGGATGCCTCGATAAACTCTGCTGCTGAGCTTATCTTCCAACTCACGGCACCTTCCTGGCTCTCCTGTGCCGCAGCCCTGCAGTCCAGCCAGGCTGGCTGGCACTCTGGTTGTCCCCATGCATCTCCCTGATCTGGCTAGCAGTGTCCCTGCTCACTGCAGGGGGTTGGACTAGATGACCTCTAGGGGTCCCTTCCAACCCAAAACATTCTATGATTCTATGATCTCCCACAGAGCAGTGTTGGAGCCACCACCGGTGGCTGGCAGGTCCTGCCTGGCTGGAGGGGATGCAGGGATTTTGGGACAAGTCCAAGGGTTCAGTGCTGCCTCTCAGTGCATGGAGTGATGCACCCCTCTCCCCTGTGGCTCGGAGCAGTGTCTTCCTTTTGCACATGTTAGTGTCCCGTGGGTTTTAATGGGGTCTCGTGCAAGGAACATGGGTTCAGGCTTATGAAAACCTACCGGGACTCAAGGATGTGACCAGTCAGACCAGCAAGCGAGTGAAGTGGCCACTGTTGGTGGGTGACTGGGATGGATATGGTACCAGCACGTGGTCAGACACTAATTGATGCTGATGACAGGCTCTAAGTACCTGGTCTGAGCTACAGCCCAGACCTCGGTCCTGTCCTTTGGGCTGGTCACCGTGCTGTGGGGCAATAGGGAAAGGTGGGTCATGGCCACACTAGTTCAATTATAACCGCAGAAGCCAGTGCTGTTCCCCATCAGGGGCTGCCCTCTAAGCCAAGGGAGCTGCTGCCTGACCTGCCCTCTTGCTCTCACATTTACCAGCAGGAAAACAAGGATGCCTACTAATTAACGGTTAATACAATTAAAACTGCAGCCCCCTCAGAAAGCCAGAACTGATGGGAGTACTTCAGCAGCTACCCAGTGTGTTGTGGCCTGGCCAAGGAGCCGTGCAGAGGGACCACCTGGGGCTGGGGGCAAAGGGCTGTGCCATTCTGGGGGAAGGCTAGAGGCAATGTTAGCCTTTCCCTTGGTGCAGCCCCCTCAGTTTTGGACTTGGATGGATTTAAGAGTGATTCAGGCAGTGTTGAATGAACTGGCCACAGGGGGGGCAGGGGGGGCTGTGCTGATGCTCTCAGTGCTCTACAGGAGGTCTCTCAGGTGTCTATAGGGTTGTCTCGACCATCTACTCAGGGTAATGGATACGATGTAGTTTGGGATGAAGAAGGAAATCTTTCCTCCGGTTCGTAGCATTACACTTCTCTTTGACAGATCTGAGATTTGTGAAATGAATACATTTTGTGGCACGTAGCAGAGCACCGATAATCCACAAAGCCCCACGGAACCTCCCTCTGTGCTGCAGTGGGCTGCGGCTGCAGAGGTGTCCTGTCTGCTCCTTTGCTGGATGAAGCTACCCTTTATCATCTATCCTAAGTTGATTTGAAAATCACAGAGAAATGGGGGAAGTCTTTCAGCCAAGACACTCTTGTATATATTTGATTTTTTTCAAGGAATAGCACTTTCTACAAATGCTAACATCTCAGCCAACTTGAATTTGGCTACAAAAGCTTTGTCTTCTCTCTTCTTCCTTCACTACCAGTGAAATACATTTGCGAGTTCTTGACTCCTCCTTGAACCGCAGTATTTATTGTCCTGCTCTGCTTTCCCCCAGACCAGAATGCATTTCAGTGGCAATTGAGCATTTTTTCCTATAATTTTCAGTGCATTTGGGGCATTTGTAGAGTGTGTGTCGCTGAGATAAGTAAAAAGCGTTTGGTTTTGTTGTCCTTAACAGCATCATTTGAGACGTCACCTTCCTAGCTGTGAGGGTGCCTTAAATGTTTGCTGATAGCTTTTTGAGTTGGTGATTCTGAATAATCTGTGCACTAGGACGGAGGCTCTTCTTATGCGGTTAAACCCACTATCTTCGTGCCAGGAGGGGAGAGAGCCATCAGCATTTTGACGGAGGAACTCAGAAGAAAGCCAAGGCACTACCTAAGGCTGAGGAGGAAAGCTGTGCCGTGGCAGGGAGCCAGCTCGCGGGGACGGACAGGGACGATGCCATGCGTTTCGGGGGTGCGTGACTCACTTCGGAGCGATTCTGTAAAATGTCTCCTGAGCAATTCATCTGGCAAGTGTAGTGCTCATCTCCTGGCTGGGAAGCAAGCAAGCCCCTTATAAGTCATCTGTTAGTGTCTCCAAAAAGCCTTGTAATCCCTATTGCCAAGCAGCTTTTGTCAGAGAAATAACATGAAATGCAGGAAGCAAGGGAAAATAATTGTGTCTGGAGGTTTGACTATCACTCCTTGCGGAGAATTCATGGACACGTTTCAGTTTGCCTTGTATAATCAAGTCTAGGACTTCTCGCTGTGTCCATCACGAGGGTCTCTTGGCAGTAACCAAGTCTAATCCCGTAAGATTTTGTTAAGAGCTTCTAGAAAGAAGAAAAAAAAAAAATTAAAAATCAATAAATCTTGCAGGTCCTTGGCTAGGTCTCCCGTTAGGTTTAACATCGAAATAGCCATGACAGTTCGCGTGTGCTCTTCCCAACAGTGATCACCTTGCTCAGGGGCTGTAGCTTGTGTAGTGCAGCTCTGCCACGTATCCTCAGAACCTGGTGGGGCATAAGGTGGATTCATCTTTGCCTCAGATGTCTTTCTGGGTCCTCACACCCAAACAACATCTAAGCCTTTGCTGATTTTTCAGGGCAATGCTGCTCAGACGCTGCTTTTCCCATCCGTGAGCCATGATGGCAACCCTCCCTGGGTCCCTCCTCACCTGGCATCCTGATGACGCCGCATCCCTTCCAACAGCCTTGCCTTGCTTGCAGCCACGCAGGACACACGTGCAGGTTGTTCTCCCAACCTGGTGCTTTGATTGCACCACCCCGCTCCTTTGCCTCCCTCCACGGGCTCCTCTTTTCTCTAACACCTAAGCTGCTGCTTTTCTTTTTCGCAGCTCCCCCAGCTCATCTTTTCTCACCCTCTGTCTCGAGATCGGTTCTGCTGTTGATTAGCCAGTGTCGCCCATGTGAGGTTTCTAAACCAGCTACTTCACGCTTCCTCCCTTGTGGTCCCTTACACTTACACGGGCTCCTCCGAAATATCTCCCTATGGGAACTTGTGCCTTAAAGCCCTTCCTCTCTGGTCCCACAGAAGGTCCTGCACGCAGGTGAAGGATGAAGATGACCAAAGGGTGCAGAGGGTGGAAATAGCCATTCACAAGTGTGTGACTGAGGTGGGATGTGGGGGACTACGAACGCCCCATAAAGCCACGTGTGGGTTGGATCAGTGGGTATCCCACAAATAAAGCCTCTTGTGAGCAATTATTCTCAGCCCTTCTGCACTTGAGGCACATTGTGCCTGAGCGGTGGTGTGTCTGCACTGGGACCCCGAGACAGTTAATTTGTTCTGGTTAATTGGGAAGGAGATTCAGTCTTTTCTTTGTCGAAAGAAGGGGAGGGGCATCAGAAGGAAAGATGAAAGAAACAGGGTAATCCTCTTCCCAGTTACTTTCCTTTTCTTCCATCTGTTTGGAAATGCTTTAACTTGTGGGTGTTGAGTACCATGTGTGTTTGAAAGGGCATCGCAGGGCTCAAGACTCTGGAGGAGAAAAGTGTTATTTATCCGTGACTCGGTGCTTGTGCCAAGTCACCAAAACCAGACCCAAGCCAGATGGTACTGGTCCAGCCTGGATGTAGAGGCTTGATTTGGTGTTTGGGCCTGGGAATAAAGCCCAATTCTGACTCCAGATCCAGCTTTTGGAGTCAGCGTTAGCATGAACCTGGATGGGCACCTGCCCATTCCTACCCACTGTACATGGCTCTCAGCTATTTTGGTGGAGGTGACAGAGGAGACTGGATACATGGAGAGAAAAAGGGCTGGGAGAAGCTGGATGGGGATGGTTATTGCTCCCTGGGGGTCCAGCACTTCATCTCCATCCACCCAGCCACCAGGATACCAGCACTGGCGGGTCCCGTCCTTGCCTGCACCAACACGAGTGTGGAGCACTGTCGGGGCACTCGCTCTGATTATCTGTAGCTGGTTTTTCATGACTATTAATGGGAGCAGGATGTGTGTGGCAGACTGATAATATGCTTCTGACAGTCAAGGACTAGCACCTCCACAACAGCTTGTGTTTGTATCACACTTTTATGAATAAGATGTTTTAAAAGGGTCTGAAATTGCATTATTTCAGCTATTCTGATTTGTATCACTAAATAATGCAGCTGATACTGCTGAAACTTGATTTCTTCATTGACCTGAGTTTTTTATTCATTTCATCAGGGCGATGGATTTTCTGTTCATTTTATCCTGCAGGTTAACCCTTACAGGTACAAGTTACTCTAGGCCTTTCTCAGACACATCAGGAGGTGATGGGCAAGCACAGGGCAGGACCCTGCCCTCACTAGCGGTCCTCAAACCCAGCCTGCAGGCAGGAGTTTTGCACCCAGAGATTCAGCCCAAATCAAGGCCTGGCTCTGCTGCCTGAATTCACTGATACCGGGGGAAGATGCCGTGCTGTCAGCTGAAGGATTTTTGTCTCCTGAAGGATTCCCACTGGGCTTTAAGGTCCAAATTCCACGGTCGCTTCCCCTGTGGCTGCAAGTGCAGCCCCCTTGCAGGAGGTGTAGACCGATGGTCAGGCAGCCGGCAGCAGTGTTACGTGGTTCTGCTTTGGAGACTTAAGTTTCTTGGAAACCTTTTGGAAAATCGATGTAGCTGAGGAGCAATCAGAACCACCTACCAGCTAGGATGAGACTCTCTGAGCTGCTCTTCTTGAAGCCTCTGTCCTTGGCTGCCATCAAGTATTAGTTCAGATAGGTGCTAGGGCTCGTGTCTAGGCTGCCTCCTTACAAAAGATGGCCTTGAAGGTCTGATGGCATTTTCCATCTGCAACTATCATGATCCGAAACAAAAGCTGTCTCAGACAATTTTTGCCTGACAGCATCATGGTTCCTGTTCATAGCTGCATCCCACTCAGGCACCAGCCTCTCTCAGTGGCTGCTTCCACCCCTGAGGGTTTATTTACAGAAATGACAAGGCACCGGCTTTTGAAGGAGGTCCATGCTGTGAGAAAGGCTCTGAGAAAGGAGGTGTTGGGTTTCAGGACTGCTCTTTACTCTTCTCTTTTAATTGCTGTCTCTTTCCATAAAATGTTGCAGTTAATAGTTATGGTGATTGGTGTAGCCAATTTGAAAAATAATTACTGCCTGCTTCAAGATTATCTTTCCTCCTAATTAAAATCCCGGACCTCACATATTAAAGGTGCGCTGTTGACACAGCATCCCATGTGCACCCAAACAACCTCATTTGGATTTGCAGAATTAATTAGGTTTTATTTCCATCCCCAGCTGTTCTCTCCTGCACCAGGAATGTGGCCGCTGTCTCAGTTGGCTAGTGGTGGGAGAGATAAGAGGGAGATCTTCCTGCATAGCTCCCACACTCCTATCACAAGCCAGTCATTGACAAGCATTCCCCAGACCTCATCGGAGGTTTTCCCACCTTCACTGTCCAGGAAACAAATTGCAAGTGCTGTGGCATGGCCTATGTTATGGTTCGGGCATTATATATTATGTATGTGATCCGTGTGGGTGGACTGGGACAGCCTGGAGTCCACCACCCCCTCCCAAAGTTGCAGCCAGCAGCGAGAATTATGATGCTGTAGGAACGAGGTTTGTCATCCTTCTCATTTTCGCGATGCCGTGCCTGCAATAGAGGGAAATAACAAATAAAAGAACCAAGTTTTTCATTTTTTATTATAAGAAACTGAATTGTCATTTTTCCCTACCCCAATATCATTGAGTGAGCTGTGTGTGCGGAGGTGGATACGCGGATACGCTGGGTTGGTTTGGGGCTGCTTTTGGGTGCCGGTTGTGCGCACTTGTTGGCCTTGGTAAGGGTGTTTGTGCGTGCTGGGGTGCAGAGGACGGCGTTGCTTCTGTAGGGCGCTTCTGTGTTTGACCCAGGTCATTTTTGTCACCATTAATACACTTGAAACATTGGTGGTTACATGAATGTCCTGTACCCATGGGCAAGGGTCACTTCGTCATGCTGTCAAGGTCATTGTATGTTCACAGAGTTTTTACAGCCTCTCAACAAAACCCCAAAGTTAATATTTTGGGCAGGCGTAAGGTCACTGGTACCTTTCTGTGCTCCAGCTGGTAAATTGATAAAAAGAGAGTGTTAAGGCTAAAGCAGCTGCAGGACAGACCCAGACAGTTGTCTTCCCCCAAAGCCAGCTGGTTAAATGTGCCTTGACAGTTCTTCCCAGGTAGTTTCCCTGATGCACGAGGATACCCCTAATTCACGGTGTTAAGTGGTTGCGATAATCTCCCGTTTCTCTCCGCACGCCAGGGTTCTAATGTGCTTGCCTGTAAACTCATCAAGGAGGCTGTTTTATGGCTACCTGTGGGAGAAGATTGCCTTGGCACCGCAGCAAGCTTTGCTGTGTCCCCATAGCACAACCCATATGGCCCAGCAAGCCCAGAAAATGCCGATGCTGTGCCTCTGAGATAGTGGTTCTCACCAGTTTTCCCCCAGTTTCTTGCTCATTTTTTTGTGCTGGATGCCGAGGAGGTGAGTCAGGCAAGGAGGACCTCCCCAAAACATCATACTTGTCTTTGGCTAAAGCTGCAGGTGCTTGGACACCCCTGGGGTGTGGGACCCCAGTGAACCCCACCGTGCCTTTCCTGCACACACCGAGGTGGTCACTCTGCTTCCAGAATTTGATTCACCAGAGAAGTCAATTTTTCTCTTATCTGGCTGCGAACAAGCAAGTACGTTTTGTGCCTTGGCTGCTAAATTTTAATGGCTTTCGTGAAAAGCTAATTTGCAGGATTAAGGCTCAGCTCTCCCAAGGGTTCCCGCTGTCTGAGTACCAGCCCCTCAGGAGCCTGATGGAAAGTGCATATGAGGAGCAAGACACTTCCCATGGCTCCACGTGCAGCAGCGGGACCCAGCTCGGGGTCCCAAACCTCTGGGTGAGAGCACAGAAATGCCACGGGCTTTGCTCCGCTTCCTCGTGCTTTTTATCCAAAGCATTGCCGGTCACTCACCTGAAATCAGGCCCTTTGAAATATCGATTAAAACTAATCTGAGGTCTCGAACGGGCTGCAGCATGGTGGGATGCACTGCCTGCACCATCCCTGCCTTCTGTGGGGCAGCACCGGCATCAAACATGCTGGGGGAGCAGGGAGGGCACCCAGGGGGGACATCTTCTACCTTCCCCAGACCTTTTTCTTTCTGATTTTATTCCTCTGACAGAGTCTTTCTGCTGAGCAAACCAGATAAATTGCCTGTGCAATAAATACTGGAAACATCTTCCTACAGGATGTTGATGCTGCAATAACTTTTATCGGCAGCCCAAAATACAACTGCTGATACCGTTTCTGCTCGTGCATCACTACGGGGTGCCTCCTTCCCCTGTTCTTTTTGTCATCCCTCATAAAAACTAACGCGCTTCTCAGCAGCGAGCGCTGCTGACCTCCGTATCGCATATTATATATTGCAAGATGCCCCATTATGTATCTCATGGGCTGATGTTGCAGAGCATGGTGATGTATTTTGGTCCAGGATCACAGCAGCAATTGCTGGGTGTAACGGGAACACAGCAGTGTGTTTTAGCTCTTTCAGCCTGGTGACCCTTTATTCCAAGGCAAACATTTTTGCAGCCCTGTTGTGTTTACTGTCAGGGTAAAAATCTTCATTCATCAATGAAAATCATCAGCGTGTGTGTGTGTGTGAGAGTGCGTCTGCTTCGAGGGGTTGCTGGAGTCTACTTGACATGTGGATGGTTTGGTCTGTGGTATCGATCTCCTAGGTTGATTGGAAGATAATTGTAGACTGAAGTACTGAAGGCCACCATTGCAAGCAATTTGTTTTTCATAAAGGATTGCCGAGGCATGAGATGCTTCAATGCCATAGCAACAAGTGTGATGTAACCGCCAGACAGAGAGCAGGAGGATGCTTATCCATGAAGCAGTCCCTAGAGAGGCTTTTTCTTGGCATGGAGAACTCTTCTGCTAGTCAGAAACCTCTCACTTCGAATCACCGATATATCTCAGTCGGAGGCTGGGGAGAGAAAACGTGCAAGACACAAGCTTCCTGGGGAGGGGGAATAACACGCTTGCCTCTGCTCTCCCTTTGCAGGTACTGGCTAACGAACAAGGTGCACATCAAGCGACCCACCACCGGCCTCCTCATGTACACCTTAGCCACTCGATTCTGCAACCAGATCTATCTCTACGGCTTCTGGCCCTTTCCCCTGGACCAGAACCAGAACCCGGTCAAGTACCACTACTACGACAGCCTGAAGTATGGCTACACCTCGCAGGCCAGCCCGCACACCATGCCCTTGGAGTTCAGAGCCTTAAAGACGCTGCACCAGCAGGGAGCCTTGAAGCTGACTGTGGGGGAGTGCGATGGGGCCACGTAGGGTGGTCCCCGGCCGCGTTCCTGCACAGCCATGGGAGGAAGGGGAGGGGGCGGAAAGGACGAGTGGTGCCTGGTGGGGTTGGTTGTCTTTGTTAATGCGCAGAACAGCGACACAAATATATATACGTGGTACCTATATATATTGACCTGAGTATTATAACTGTTTGGTGTTCACCAAGGAAAAGGGGCAGGAGAGATGCAGGAGCATCTGGCAAGACTGGCCTGGGCAAGACCCCTTGCCGTGGGCTCGGAAGGGCGTTCGACCTATGTCCAAAAGGTGTGAAGATGGCCTTGGTTTTTGAGGGTATGTTAGGTGATGGGTAAACGTTAAGCCGTTTGTCGTGACTGGTCCGAGGTTGGTAGTTAGTTTGTTTGGCCAAGGACGCCGGCGCTCTGCAGCGAGGCACGTTCTTGGCCCCGTGCTCGTGGCGGGGAGGGGGGGG